CACACTGCGTGTGGAGGTTAGAGGACAGCCTCGGATGCCTGCGTCCTTGCTTTTCACCTTGTTTTTGAGATGGGTTCTCTAGTTCACTGCTGCATACAGCAAGCTACCTGGCCTGGGAGGTCCCAGGGGTTCGCCTGTCTCCACCTCCTGCGGCACACATTATGGCATCTAGCTTTATGTGGGTTCTGGAGAACAACCCCAGTTCCCACACTCGTGTGGCAAGCCCCTTACCCACTGAGCCATTTCTGCAGCCCTGCACCTGTTTTGTAAACATTATTCTTCCAAGGATGTGTGTGTGCGTTATTGCCTAATGGCTCTTGTCACTTTACAGTTGTGATGGAGGAGCCAAAGCAGACGGCTTTATGTGGAGAAGCAGATAAGATATGAAGGCATTTCTGAGTCCACAGTGCAGTGCTGTCTGGGGTATAATACTGACCTATCAATAATCCAGTTAAGACAGTTTACCTGCTCTACGTGAGAGGGCTCAGTTCGCCAATCTTCATTCAAGTTCACACTCACACTGTTTAAATGTGGGCTCCATGCTGCAGCACACAGACCAAAGCATTATAGATTTCTTTCCCCAAATGTAATACACAAGTCTAAATTGATTGCAGCCAAACATAAATTTAGTCAAATCTTTAATGCACTCCATTAAGCCATGAATAAGACTTTAAAGCATTGTGTTAGCTCTAGAGAAGTTGGGACTGGAGTTGAGCCAATCATAGACAGCTGAAAGAGAACGTTACTTCTGGACGTGGTAGGTATGATATTTGTCCCTAACCGTGTATCATGGAAAAGGATGAATATTTTTTTCAATGTAAAAGTGAACAATTAGCTGTCATTGTGAAATGACAAATTTTGCACAAAGGGGATGGTTGGCTTCCTGTTCTAGAAAGGCTAACTCAACTCTCACACTGCCTGTGGGTATGTCTCAGACTGCCATTGGTGTCCCCTCGTATACCCAGCACTCCATTTTCATAGAACAAAATCATCTTTCTAAACACAGAATGGCAAACATTTTTCTCACGTCTGGTTGAGGCGGGGGAAGGATATGCCAACAGCTCCACCAGGTAGTTGGCATGATTTGTGTGTTCCTGAGAGTCAGAGCTTGGGAAGAGACATGCAGAGCTTGGGAAGAGACATGCAGAGACATTTTTGCACTTTCAGAACAATGTAGATTTTGAATAATTTGTCCAGCACTTTTCCAGAAGGGTTTCTAGTGTGGGGCTGGCAAAAAGTCAGGGATACACATTCAGAAATCCAATTCGGATTCAGCAATGCTTGGTGGTGTCGCAAATGCAGGCTGTGGATGTGTCTGGGGACGGGGCACTTGGGGGAGTTAGCTTGGGGGAGGGGTGAGTGAAGAATTAAAACATCTCACCCACGATATTTTCACAATGATTACATATTTATTTCACTTGCATGAGAAATCGAGCTACACGTGTGTGGAGTTAGGCCGCATTGTAAAAATTGTCACCGATTGTTGTCATCGTTTTTATTTTTAGTGTGATTGCAAACATTTAAATGTATGGCTTGTTCTTTCCGTGGGTAGAGTGAGATCATATAGGGGCCACAGTTAATGACGACTTTCCTGCCTCTTTTTTTCTTCCATCTTCATGTCTCTTTGTGTGGTATGTGCATGTGCATGCATGCGTGTTTGCATACATATGTTGACACGTGTATGGGGCATATGTGTGTGCAAGTGACATCATTGTTGACGTCATGTTGTTGATCCTTGCTAATTAGCTCTTCCACCTTATTCACAGAGGTAAGGCCTCTCAGTCAAGCCCAGAGCTTACCAATCTGGCTAGTCTTACTAGCCATGTTGCCCTGGGAATCCCTAGTCTCCACATTCCACGGCTGGCATCACAGGTGGGCTTGTCATGCCACATGGGGACCAGAGACCTGAACTCTTGGGAGGCAGGTACTTTCACAGCTAAGTCATCCTTATAGCCATCTTGCCTGTGTTTCCTTACCAAACTGAAAACAGGAGAAATTGATAGTGCTGCATCTTGAGAGGAAAAGGGATTCTGCATCACAGGTTTGGGAGATGGGTAGGCCTCTCATTTGTTAAGTGAAGGTCCTCTCTGGGTTGTTAGAGACAGAAACCCATGTGGGGGGTAAGTGCCCAGCACAGAAACTGGAGTAGAGAAAGCTAATTTCCAACTCCTGGTTATGTGTCTAGGCCTGCTTGTGCGTACCAATTAGAACCCACCCATTTCTATTCACACCCTGTCTCTCTTCTTCCAGGTCTGAACTCACTGACCTGCCGACCTACTTCTACAGCCAGAAAGCCTAGCTTCCTTATGGGCTCCTTATCAGTGAGGAATTTGAGCTTTTCTCCCATTTGCTGCCACTCACTCAGATGCACCCACCTGCCATGTGCTATCTCATTTCAATTTCACAGCCAGGATGGCATCTTGGCTGAGACTACAAAGCAAGCTCCGGTCCCTTTTCTCCTACCTGGAGACTGGGTTTCCTCCCCCTGCTCTTCCTCTTTCTTCCCTTCTTCCATTCCTTCTTTTTTTGAAACTAAAATCTCTTTCTTTCAATGGGATGCTGGATGACTGGCGCTGAGCGAGTGCATGCAGGAAGCTAATGGAAGGATGTGTAAGCGGGTGATGAAGACAGCAGAAGGTGGTGCAATGCAAGAGGACATTCAGGACCTTCTTGTCCTCCCCCCACCTCTCCCCTTCTTCCCTAGACCTCTCCCCTCCACCCTAATGTCCCTCCCTTTCCTCTCCAACCTGCCTTCTCTCATCACATTTGTTGGTTGCCTCTCAAAGCTCTTCCATGTTCAGCCTGTGGTAGGTACAAGGAGCTTCTAGTCAGTCTTCCAGACTCTCAGAGAGCAGCCTCCCACAGGGTCGCACACCCTGCACAGAAAGCTGTGCACTTGATTGACATATTCTAACAAATACGTCCTCATACGATGGCTGGACTTGCTCTGCAAAAATCAGTAAGGGGGGGAGGGGGACGGGGACCGTGAAGCTTAGTGGAAACGTATCCATCCAGGCATCTGTTCTCCCTCATAATCAATACTGAGCCAGTCACTCAGAACTATCAAACTTCAGAGCAAGTCCGGTACTGGTGGCTGGCAGCCCCTTAAAGTCCTGGGTTCCTGTGCAGGTGTTTTTTTTTTTTTTAATTTTTTTTTTTTTTAATTCATAAAGTGTGTATTTTTGTTTTTATCCAGCAGTGGTAACAAGGTGATTTGGAATCAGCTCTGGACTTGAGATCGTATTTATTTATTTATTTAGCCTTTTCATCAGATCAATATGTTGCGCTGCCTGTTTTATTCTTAGATTTACTGACTGTTCTCCCAGAAACAAATTCAAAGCAGAGAAGCAAGCAGATTGGTTTTTATCTCAAAGCCCGGGCTGAGGCTCTACAGAAGGAATCCTTGGAAATTCACAAAGGAGCTGAGTTTCCCAGGCTCTCCCTGCTGACAGATGGCTTTGTTTGAAGCGTCTGTCTTTGGGAGAAGCTGAGTTATGTACCCTCAAGGGCTCCTCCCCCACCAGTCAAAGGATACTTGGGCTAACCCTGCATTCATGAACACACCTGCTTGCCCTGGGCCATTAACCAAAGAACTATGGACCTTCTATTCTGGGCAAGAAACTGTAGCTACCAATTGTTATTTCTCTGAATTTTCTAGGGAATTTGGGTCAGATTGCAAAGAACTACTTGTAAAATGCAAAATTAAAAAAAAATTGCATAGGACTCGAGGTGCTGAGGTGACCAGAAGGTGTCAGATCCCCCTGCAAATAGAGTGGTGGACCACTGTTCTCTGCCTGATGTGTGTATCGGAAACAGAACTTAGGTCTTAACTGTTGAACCATCTCTCCAGTCCCACCAAATTCTGCTTTAAGATAATTGCCCCTCTCCTGGGAACTTTTGTTCTGGGTGCTCAGCTTCTTGAGAAAAGAGAAAGCCCTAAAGATTCCCAGGCTTATTTTTCTTGTCCCCCCCTTCCCGCGCCCGGTGTAATCTCATCATCTTGTAGTTCCAGGTGGCTCTGAAATGAAAGCGTGGGGCATTCAAATGAGTGTCTGGAAGGGGGTGGGCTGGCTGGTACCTCCCTCTTCCGTAGGACCTGATCATTCCTAGCCGTCCACACTGCAGCTCAGTGCCACAAAGGCCGAGGGTCTGTACACAAAATGAGCTTCAGAGATTTGGGTGTTTGGGGATAATTTGTTTTCCCATGTGAAGGTAGAAGGGGCATTGCTTCTGAAAATGTTTTAAAATTAGCAGAGATGAAAGCATCATGGTTAGAGGTACATATACCTTTTGGGACATACATATATGTATCTTGTTTTACGATTTCAGTTTGTTAGCACTGTAGAGGTGGATGTGATTATGTAACTAGAATGCAAGAGTGGGTACATCCAGATGAGTGTCCAGATAGCCAGTGCCTCATGCACAAGGAGGGGACCTGAGTGGTACTTCTGTATAATAATCTGTCCCTGATTTTGCTTCTGCTGAACTTGGATCCTAAATCATTGTCTTAAAATATATTTGTTGAACCAAGGAGAAACAACTTCTATTTGACTTAAAAATGTCACTGGGTCTTCTTAGTCCTGTCATTGTTTACAAAACAAATACCATTTCATCTAATATGGCTATAGCTTATGGTCCTATCTAGAAACAAAAAGACAAAACCAGATTTATGGCCAACATGAGATATTTTCTGGATACACGCGCAACAATGAAAACATTTTGAAAATTAACGGGCACCCACAGGTATAAATACACTGTTGAAAACATTTAACGCTCTTTAACATAGCCAAGTCCCCTGAGCTTGAAGCAGCATTAAATTCTCCTTTGCCGGTAGCATAAAGAAGCCGTCAAGCACAGCAGTGAAAAATTGGTACCGTTTCCTGGCCAGTAAGCAACAGAACCAAGGGCTTGAATATTTTATGGGTTTTTATTTATTTATTTTTGTTCTCATGCTGTTTTTCTCCCCCATTTCGTTTTCTCTCCTGTTCTTGCCTGCCCAGGACTGATCGTGGTGACACTGGCTGTGTGTTGGATGCCAAATCAGGTTCGGCGGATCATGGCTGCAGCAAAACCCAAACATGACTGGACCAAGTCGTACTTCAAGGCATACATGATCCTTCTCCCCTTCTCCGACACGTTCTTCTACCTCAGCTCAGTCGTCAACCCTCTCCTGTACAATGTGTCCTCTCAGCAGTTCCGGAAGGTGTTTTGGCAGGTCCTCTGCTGCCGGCTGACTCTGCAGCACGCCAACCATGAGAAACGCCTGCGTGCCCACTTCAGCTCCACCAAGGACAGCACCCGCTCAGCCCGCAGCCCACTCATCTTCCTAGCCTCCCGGCGGAACTCTTCCTCCAGGAGAACGAACAAGGTGTTCCTGAGCACTTTTCAGACCGATGCCAGGCCTGGAGAAGCTAAGCCCCAGCTCTTGAGTCCTGAGTCATCACAGACAGCTGATTCAACCACGGAAAATGGTTTCCAGGAGCAGGGGGTATGAGCATCAAGTTCAGAAGCCTTGAGCAGAAACTGACTCTTCCCTCCCACAAAAGCAAAGTTACCTTCACGCAGTCCCCGAATAGACTGTGACTCCATTAGGGACAGAATGGAAGCTCCAGGCTTTGGGAAGGGCAGATGCATATCTCAATGACTTCTAAGGGCTGATTCTTCCAGGATGGCCTTGGCGGTGGTTACATGGACTGGGATGGGAAGAGCTGGGCTTTCTGAAAGCTCCATGCATTTTCTTCAACTACCCTCGGAAATCCAGACTGAATTGGTTCAGAGCTTACAAAGTATTTGTGCATGGCAATCTTTCATTACTTGAAGGGAACAAAGAGACCCTTTTGTCTACCCAGAATAGAAGGACACCCAGCAGAGACTCAGGGAGGTGAGAGAGTGCGTGCCTGACAGATGATGCAGCAGGGGTTGGCATCTCCTTTAGCTTCAGCAGTGCGCCAAGCAGAGGGCTAAGTTGAAGAGCAGGGCGGTGGTGAGAAGCCCTGGCCTCATGGCCGAGGCAGAACTGCCTCTTTTCTTGGGCCTCGGCCCATTGCAAAGAGGGGTGTTGCAGCAGCTGATACACACGGAGTTCAGTTTCCCAGGGGAGCAGAAGGACTGGTACCCAGCCGAGGCGATGAGACAGGCTGCTGACGATGCGCACGACTTCCGGTACATGATCCCTGCAACACAGGCCCGGAAAGGTGGGGTTAGCATGTGAGGCCTGCAGTCCAGTCATTACTGTGAGCCCAAATATGAGTGCATAGCTTTCCCTAACTCCTCCCACAGAAAGGGTTCTTGTTTCCTTAGCTAGGAGATGTCTCGGGCTACAAGAACTCCCAGATTCGCTGCAGCCTGTGAGTTCTTTTGGGCGATTGCATGGAGGTCACATGCAATCCCCACAGAACCTGTGGGGATTGTGACAGACACTGCTTCTGACAAATTGTTCTGACAGCTATTTTAGTTGCTATATCCACGAATAAAGAGCTATTAAAATCAAAGTCTCCTCCCTTCTGAGTGTGTGTGTGTGTGTGTGTGTGTGTGTGTGCACGCCCGATGTATTTGCATTTGTGCATGCAATACCCTCGGACTCTAGAAAAGAGCATTGGATTTCCCTGGAGCTGGAGTTGCAGGTGGTTGTGAGCTATGGAGGTGTTGGGAGCTAAATCCAAGACTTCTGTAAGAGCAGTGCATCTCTTAACCATCCTTCCTGCCCCTGCACACGTCTTTGCTATGTGGGTTCTGAGGATCAAACTCAGAGGTCCTCATCCTTGCATGGCAAGTGCTTTACTGACTGAGCCAGCTTTCCAATGACAAGGTGTATTTGTTAAATCAAGTCCTACATTATACTAGACAAAAGGGTACTTCTTTCCTTTGTTGTTCAAACCATCTGTCTCATACTAGGACCACATACCGCATATTTAGCTGTTATCTCTGTTATTACCTAGTAAGTGGCCATAGATAGATGGCTCCCAACCAAGAGCTCATTAAATCCCAGAATTCTCTAAATATAGAGAAAATCCCAAAGAGAGTCATCCTGGTCCATATTTTAGGGACCCCAATTTTAGGAGTACACTAAGTTTAAATAGCAGGTAGAGGCACTAACAGTGTACCTAGGATAGCCTCGTTCTCCAGGAAGCAGCTTGCCTTACAGGATAAGCCGACATCAAAGAGCTGGTTGTTGGCTACAGATATGGTGGGAACAGAAAGTTTTCTGAGGGGTTGGGAGGTGGCTCTGTGGGCAAAGCGCCAGCCATGCAATCACAAGGACCTGAGTTAAGGTTCCCCAGAACACATGTCAAAATCCAGGTGTGGTAACACAGGCCTATGATACCAGTACTGGGAGACAGAAAAGGAGGACCTCTGAAACTTACCGCCCAATTAGCCTAACCTAATCCAGGTTCAGAGAAAGCTCCTGACTCAAAGGTTAATATGGAGAAGTAGTTGAGGAAGACATTTGATACTACCTTCCTCTTCCCCACACATGTGCATACAACACACATATGTGCACACACGTACATGTGTACTCACCACACATACAAAGGAGCTTTCTGAAAATACCATAGAACTCATCTTGCTTGTTTGTTTTCGGTTTGTTTTTTTTTTTTTCGGGACAGGGGTTCTCTGTAACTTTTGGAGCATGTCCTGGAACTAGTTCTTGTTGACCAGGCTGGTCTCGAACTCACAGAGATCTGCCTGCCTCTGCCTCCTGAGTGCTGGGATTAAAGGTGTGGACCACCACCGCCCGGCTGCCTATGGAACTCATCTTAAGGAGTACAGGACAGGTGTCTTGTCCAATTAGACAGGAGCTGTCAAAGTAGGGCATCCCTGATAATCATGTGATTTCTTTTTAAAAGCTGAGGATTTACTACAGTTAAACAATCATAATAATAATGATAACAAGGCTAGGGATATATCACTGCTGATAGTAGCCTAGCAGCCATGATGCCCTGGGTCCCACCCCAGCACTGAATACATTGGTGCATACTTGTAACCCTAGCACTTGGGAGGTAGAGGCATGGGGACCTGGAGTTCAAGTCATCCTCAGCTATGTTGTGATTTAGATACCACCAGGAGCTACAGAAGACCTGGACATTGGGGGAGAATTGAAAGGGGGGAGAGGCAGGGAGGGGAACAGAGAAAAATGTAGAGCTAATAAAAATGAATTTAAAAAGACCCTGTCTCAAAGCAGTAACAATTTTAACAGCTAAATCATGAGCTTCCAGGATGCCAGACACTGTACAGATGGCTACTATGTGCCAGCTCATTTAGTTCTATTCCTAAAGTTAGGATATAGTGTGCCCTGGAAAGTCCTGTGTAGAAAAAGCTTTGTCCTCAGCACAGTGCTGCTGGGAAGTGGGGTTCAGGGGGGACGTCTCAGGTCACAGTATGGATGTTCTAAAAGGGAACAGTGGTGTTATAGTTTCTCTGTCTCTCTCCTCTCCTTGCTATGGAACGAGGGGCCCTACTTCTTCACATGCATCTACTTTAATATACTGCATCACCCTAGGTCTCTGACCGTGGATTGAGCTCCCAGCCCCTATGCCTGCACCCGACCCCCGTGTGTGTGTGTGTGTGTGTGTGTGTGTGTGTGTGTGTGTGTGTGTAATGTGGAGGTCAGAGATCAACCACAGATGTTGTTTTTCTGGAAACACCCATCTTTAAGAGAAGGTCTCTACACGGTCTGGAACTCTCCAATTATGCTGAACTTTAGGCCAGTGAGCCTAAAGGAGTCTACGCATGTAAACTGTGTATTCTGGGTATCAAATTCAGGCCTGTGTGCTTTGATAAAATGTGCACTTTGCTGGCTGAGAGATCTCCACAGTCCCTTCAAAACTAAACCAATACAAGCCTTTCTTCTTCCTACATGGATTATTTTAAGCATTTTGCTACAGTGATAAAAACCTGACTAGCCTGGTTGAAAGTACTAGGGGGACCCATGACTTTCCTAAAGTACAGATCCAGAGCCTGAGGACTAAGACTAGTAACTTGCCTAGGTCCCATCATCAGACTCTCTTCTGGCATCCACAATAGAGCATATTGTGGTGGCAATGTGGATGTCCTTCTGTGTATGTGCTGCTTTTACTGTTTAATGAATAAAGCTGCTTTGGCCTATAACATGGCAGAATATAGCCAGGCTGGAAGAGATAGAGGGAGAGAGTAGGCGGAGTCAAGGAGAAAGATACCATATAGCTGCCAAAAGAGAAAGATGTCATGTAGTTGCTGAAGGAGGCAGATACCATGTAGCTGCCCAAGAAGCAAGAGGTAACAAACCATGAGCCTTGTGGTAAAATATAAAATAATAAAAATGGGTTAGTTTAAGATATAAGAACTATCTAGAAATACACCTGAGCTATTGGCCCAACAATGTTATAATTAATATAGTTTCTCTGTGGTTATTAAGGTCTGGGTAGCCAGGAATAAGAGAGCAGCCTCCTTCTACAAATTGGTGCACCAATGTGGGGCAATCTACATCCACATAAAAACTGAGAGAGCTTGGGAAGGAAGTCTAGACACAGAACAATAGAGTTAAGTGTGGCTTCTTATAGCTGCATTTTTTTTTCAGATAGGCTCTGTTTGCTGATGGTAAGCAGAGGCATGGCTCCATTAACAGAAGGCTTTCTGACTCAGCATTAGCAGCAAAAAACAGCATGGCTTCTTTGAGAGATGGCTCCCTGGTTCATACTGGCAGCACTCTGGCTCTTCTGGAAGGTCCCACACTTAAATAGGGTCAGTGAGCAGCATGTTACAAATCGTTTAATGGCAACATAGACTCACTGTGTCTCTGGAGCTAAGGTGGCAAACATGGCTCACAAAGAGAACATGGCTCACAGAGTCAGTGAACATGCCTTCACCATGTTGGACTGGGCAGAGAAAATAGGCAAGGCCACTGAGTTGGTCCTACTATACTTGTTTAACATGTAAAAAAAAATGTTCCTGGTCAAAAATGATTACATATATGCAATAAAGGTAGATTCAGATAAAAGAGATCTCTAAATGGGTCACAGTGTTGGATAAATGTAGGGAGGATTGGGAGAGAGTAGAAAAAGAGTATAGACAATTATACAAAGAAATAGGTTTAAAAATAAAACAAAGTCTTTAAAAAACAGTAAAAGTAATATAAAAGAATACAGTCATAAATTAAAAGTGTAAAGAAAAATAAGTCATGTAAATATTACATATACACAGAGAGTCTGGATTATGTATATTATTGTGTTTTCTTTGAATTTTTTGACTGCAGAGAGACATTTGATTCCAGGGTCTGCTAAGTCAAACCAACATAAAGGTATCTTGACTTCAAAATTTGGGTATAAGGATATGTTGCTTTGGAAGAGGTTCTGCTTTTGTTTCCATAGAAGATGAGAACCTGTGAATTCCTTCCAGACTAATGTGGTTTAATGGAACAAGACCCTCCTGAAAGGTCTCTGTAAACCCTAAAAATACTTTGCCTAACAAACAGCAGGAAGCATTTTGGAGAAAACTATGCCCAAATTAACAAAATGATTATTTATAAGTATTTGCTTTCATTTAAATGGGGGATATAATATAGAAACGAATAGTTTACCTTGGTATAGATCTTGATTTATTGATACAAATTTAAGGTTGATTTTGTTACATCGTGTATATGTAGTTCTGCTCTTGTTTAAGGTATTGTGTATGTGGTCTTCTTTTAAAAATGTAAAGTATAATTTAAAAATACAGGTTAATAGATAATTATTTATAATAATCAAATTTGTAGTCATGTTATTTAGGTTTTCTAGATATTCAGAGATATATTTCAGTTAGTTAGACAATCCTCAACCTTCCAAAGACTTACAGAATATGGCATTTAAAATGTTTTAAAAACTTAGTCTTTTTCCAACAGTGAGATATGTCTGCTTCTGGCAGCACCAATTACTTCAAGAGGATGATGGGCATCAAAGAGGCTCCTTATTGAGTTTGCTAGCCATTTGTGCAAGAAACTGCTTTTGCCTGGTCTGCTTGATGGTATGCTATATGAACTGGACATGCAAGGTTGACAGAAAAATGACTGCTGAACTTGCTGAAAGAAGGTGAGACGGTCTTTTGGGGTTCCTGCTTCATGAAAGAATCTGACAGACATTCTGCAGGACACAGAAGAAAGTGACTGATGCTTAAAATATATTGCTTCATGGAAAAGTCTGCTGGATACTATGGGCCTGTA